GCTAAAGCCATGGATGAGTGGACGAAGATGATGATGGAGGGTCCGGCTTTGAACAAGTTGGCGGAGGGATTGTGAGTGAATTGAGTCTGCTTGACCATGAGCGAGGAAGTAAAGAGATTATCCATGTCCACCCGATCGCAAATAGACTGCATGACTCTAAAATATAATGTCTTGGCTGTGGCTTTCGAGCATCACATGAAATTGATTGACCTCTTGGTCTACTTTATATGGAGGGGTGTTGGCAGATCAGCAGCAGGGATGATTCTCACCGCCCGGAATGCATTGCAACAGAAGGCGGTGAAGGAAAAACAACATAACCAGTCTGGAAAAGGACTTTGGTGCATAAGCTATCATCATCATCATCAACCCCTTAGAAGGAACTTGATAACGACTACGGCCCACTGAGGCGGAGAAAGAGTCTTGATCAACTGAATGAATGCATGGTGACGATGGAGGCGACGATCGGCACCAGCCACGATGAGGGCTAGCCCTAAGCGCCAGATCGGATCGGTGGTGACGTCGTCATCGCGGCGTAGATCCCCTGGGAAAAAACGGTAGCTCCTCCTAATCACTAGATTACTATTAATTACTCCTAGTAGATCCCGCTCCCCTGGGATACTCTCGATGCTTGTCGACGGTGCTCCCTGTTCGTACTGATGATTCCCTGATTCCGCTCCACACTTCCTCCCTTCCCTTTCAATGGCTTCCACTATCCCTCGGGACCCTGTGCATAGCAATCACTATGTGGACTACGTGATTCGCTACAACTTTGGTGGTGAGACTGGTAAGATGGCGGTGTGCCCCAGGCCAGCAATTCCCGGTGTCGCTCCGACCTAACCACCATTGTACTTAGACGCCGCCTATGCGACTGAGCAACTCGATCGACTGCTGCGGAAGCTCTTCGAGGTTGGACTGCAGACCGAAGTGAGGCAAGGGGACGAATCGTCGCTGTTGATATTCGTCCGAGCGTCACGGAAGAAGAGCCTGAAGCGCGCCATCTATCAATCACGGTGAGCGCTTGCTGTTTGTACGGTCGGGTCTTATTATCTCTTACTGATCCGTCGATGTTATTTCTCCTAGCATTCGCGATTGGCTCTATGGCGTCCGCAATAACGAACCCGAATCAGAGTCCTCGGCGGAGGCCCAGTCGGAATCGGAGCGTTTGCGCGTTATCTACCATATGATCACGGTCCCTAAAGAGGCAGGTGGCGCTGGTATCACTCCGAAACATGGCGAATGGAAATGTGTCGATGCGATCTTTCCGCTGCATGATGAGGCCATGAATAAGCAGTGCATAAAGGACTGGAGCCAGAAGACGTTTCTGTCGGCTGATGATTTGGATCAGATACGGAACACGTTCGGAGAGAATGTAAGGATAAGACCGTCCTTGCAGGCATTACTTGATCTGCCGCTAATGGGTGCCTCTACGTACAGGTTGGCTTTTACTTCGCATTTCTACAGTCTTACTTTCGGTTCCTCATCTTCCCCGCCGTATTCGGTTTCTCCTGCTGGCTGCTGCTCGGTTCCTTTTCCATCATATATGCGGTCGTGAACAGTCTGTGGTGTATCATTTTCATCGAGTACTGGAAGCGCCAAGAGGAGGATTTGAGCTGTCGCTGGCAAACCAAGGGCGTCTCGGCTGTGCGACCCAAGAGACGCGAATTTCAGCCCGAAAGGGAGGTTCAGGATGAAAGCACTGGTGAGGTCAGGGGGGTATTCCCCGCGACCAGGCGGATGTATAGACAACTGCTGATTGTCCCGTTCGCCTTGCTTTCTGCGGTTGCATTGGGTGTCATCATCGCCACGTGCTTTGCCATTGAGATCTTCATCTCAGAGATATACAATGGCCCGCTGAAGACCTACTTGGTAAGTCTAAATCGCATGAATTTCGAAGAGGCTCTGCTAACAGGAGCAGGTTTTTATCCCGACCATCCTGCTCTCAGCACTAATCCCAACAATGAGCTCGGTTTTGGTGTCTATCGCTACGAAGCTCAATGACTACGAGAACTACGAGACTCAGCCTGCATACGATGTGGCATTGACACAGAAGATCTTTATCATCAACTTTATCACCTCGTATCTGCCAATCTTCCTCACGGCCTTTGTCTACGTGCCTTTCGCGAGCCGCATCGTGCCGTACCTTGATGTTTTCCATCTGACTGTCCGGCCGTTCGTATCGAAGGAGGACGCCAACTCGCGACGAACAGAATTCAGCATTGACCCGGACCGTCTGCGCAAGCAGGTGATCTACTTCACTGTCACGGCCCAAGCTGTCAACTTTGCCATGGAGACCATTGTACCCATGCTCAAGCAGCGCCTTTCCCGCGAATATAAGGAATACAACCGCAGAAAGCAGGGAAAGATCGAGACCGAGGACGGCTCCGAGGCCAAGAAAGAGGCCCTTTTCGACGACCACCCCGACGAGACCAAGTTCCTTACCCGGGTGCGCAACGAAGCCGACATGGAGGACTACGACGTAACCGAAGACTTGCGAGAGATGTGTATCCAGTTTGGATATCTGGCTCTATTCTCTCCTGTCTGGCCCCTAGTCCCCGTCTCATTCCTGGTCAACAACTGGGTGGAGCTCCGGTCCGATTTCTTCAAGATCTGCATGGAGTGCAAGAGACCCTGGCCGCAGCGGGCCGATACCATTGGACCCTGGCTGGAAAGCCTCGGGTTCCTGTCTTGGGTTGGCAGCATCACCAGCTCTGCTCTCCTCTATATGTTCAGCAACGGTCATGAAGGCCCGAACGGCGAGCCGACTGCCATCCGCGGATGGGCACTACTGCTGACGATATTCTTCTCCGAACACATCTACCTCATGGTGCGGTATGCTATCCGCGCAGCCATGGCCAAGCTGGAACCCCCGAACGCCAAGAAGGAGCGGACGGAGCGGTACCTCATGCGCAAGCGGTACTTGGAGTCGACGATCGCGGCACGCAGCAGTGATGACGAGGGGGATGGCAACGAGCAGGATCATTCCATGAAAGTCCCTGATATCACGCGGAAGTCCTTGGAAGAGGATGCCCGCGAGTGGTCGACTCATGACACTGATCCGGCGGAACGATTCTGGATGCGACAGAAGGGGTGGAAGGAGTCGGCGCATGTTGGAGCGACCATCATCAAGACGCTGGCGACTGAACCCCAGGCGAAGAAAGAGCAATGATGTGGGCTGGTATGCGTGACTGATGACGAGAGAGGAGAGGAGAATTTGTCATACTGATGACTGGTCGATGACATGAGCATAGTATATACAGGAGTTATGAGTGGGAGCTGGAACTTCTCTATTGTCTATATGTGTTATGAAGTTGATCGATGTACTTAATCATTATTCTATTGCTAGTATGTTGCGGTTTGATGTGTACTTACTAGTACCAGACTGTCTGAATGTCAGTTCAAGTACATACTTGCATACATACGCGGGACTCGCCGGAGAAAGTTGTACTAAATATGATCCCAGTAAGCCAACGAGATGAATACCAAAACCTAGTAACCATACCTAAACTTAGAAGCGAAGCCTTCACAAATCAAGTCTACATTGTCCGACAGAAATAGATACCAGTAGCGGCAGAAACCCAGCACTGACCGCCCTTACCACCGCCAAAAGCGGCAGAACCTAGTCGACTTCGATGAAAAAAACTCGGATTTAGTCGGCTTTTAGAACATACAGCTCCCCAAACACTCAAGGTGGAATCTGTATAAAATTTGACCGCCTTTTGGTGGTATGGGCAGAAAATGGTCGCTGCTGTTCACAACATGATTAATACGGGACTCGAGCCTGGACTCGGCCATGGCTCACCCAATGGTATTACTCCCTACGTTCCAGCCAATGCTCGGCTGAGTCAGAGGACAACCCCCCACTGCAGTCAGGCATCGGCATTCTGACCCCGATTCATCCGACATTCCAAGTAACACCGCCCGGATGCCGGCGGAGGGAAGTAGTAAGTGGTTGAAGATCATTTACATCCCGGAGTTGTACGTATGTGTAGCTCCGGTGGGGGGATTCTATGCTTAGTCTGATTCGATACGTAGGGAAGGTGTTATTACTCATGGAGATTATATTTATCTAGATCTCGTCGGAGAGTGTAGTGTAGATAGTGGGAATTTCCGTGCATTGCCGGCAAACCAACTGTTGGGGAAAACGATGAGTCAGCGCATGCCGGATCAGTCATCAGCCGTGGGTCAGGCAGAACACAGTAGAAACGAAACAAAGAAGTTCGGATTGTTGAGGGGGAAGAAGGAGGGGATTTCGTGTAATGCTCAGAGTTAAAATAGGAGGGAGTAATGAACGAATGGAGGGGATTAGATACAGAGATATGTACATCGATAAGAAGTAAGTAACCGGGAAACAAAGAACTTTTGAGTCTCCTTGAATGCAGGTCTGGACACCTGAGGAAGGTAAGGCAGCCTAGTAACTTACTACTACCGTAGTACCAGTGAAGTTCACCGGGGGAAGGGCCCTTTTTCCCTCGGCGCCAGCCACTCGCCCTCCTCCATTTTCCCACACGTCACTTTTTTCTGACTGATCCTTTAACTAATCTTCCCTTTCCCTCTCGCCCCCCTCCCAGTCTTTGGCTGTCTTCCCAGCACTTCCCGTCACAAGTCGCTGCTTACGAGATCACTGCCCTCTCATAACTAATCTGCCCACACCCACTTTCCCCCCCGGTTATCGCCAATAATAGTCAGCAGTCAAACTGCAATCCAGCTTAGTTAGTCAGTTAAGGCCTCCGCGTGAGCAGCCTTTCCCAAATCTCCCCTGCCTAGCGAAAACGAGCTATCTCCGAACTGGTGCTCGCGCTCTCGTCTCTGCTTACCTCATCGTCCTTCCCCCGTTTATCCTACATCGTTTCTCTACATCCTCGCCTCCCCCCTCGAGACCCCCAAAGAAAACGTGCGAATAGACTGGCCGAGCTCGTCGTCCGCCCTTCTGCCCTTCGTGAATTGGTCCTGTCGTGTCTTTTTTCCGGCGCGTCTCCGTTGTCTTTTGACCTGTTGCCTCGATGCAGCCCACACTAGCCCCAGCGCCGCATCCAAGTATGCAAACGTCTGCTCAGGTAAGCAGCCTATGCTTGTCGCGGTTTGTCATCAGATCGTGTCTGTCCCATCCTGTCTTTCCCCGTTTCCCCAGATTCGCGCAGCTCATGACCCGAGCCGGGAGCTTGAGCTTTCTGGTCGTGTTCGCGACTGCTGTCGCCCTGTCTGTCGGACGAGCGATGCCGGATCACGCCCATGTTTTCGCGACACGGGGGCCTTGACATGCTCACCGGTCGCGTCAATCCGGTGTAGATGAATCACCAAGTATATAGATGCTAACTGTGGAGTTTCTCACTAGGACCATGCGGATCAGGGTAAGTGAGAACAGCCTCTCATCGCGAAGAAAAGGGGAGAAAAAGAGATAAGCAGGAGGAAAATTGCCCCAGCAGTCATCGCGTCATCGCGTTTGCGGGTTGCTTACTGCCTCACTCCACTTCCCTGGCCTCGTATGTGTTTACACCAAATGCTGACTCGCGTCTCTGATCTCCAGTGCTGCATGACCAGCTCTTAGCTGCTCATCAACATCTGTCGCACCCACAGCAGGCACGTCCGCAAGGTCCGACCGCGCAGCCTCCGCATATGCAACCCAATACCACTAGTCCTCGAGACCAGAACAACATCGACCCTGCCATCTCCGGCGCTGCCATGCTCAGTGGTCCTCCCCAAACTCCTCCCCAGCCAGAGCCTACGGGCCAGGAATCCCCAAAGACATATGGCAAGCGACCGCTGTCGACTTCCAAGCGCGCTGCGCAGAACCGCGCCGCACAGGTATAGTGAACTCTAGTGCCTGAGGATCAAGAGCTTGAACTGACCAAATCCAGAGAGCTTTCCGTCAACGCAAGGAGAGCTATATTCGCAAGCTGGAGGAGCAAGTGAAGGAGTTTGATAACACGAACGAGACTATGAAGCAGCTGCAAGCCGAGAACTACCAGCTCCGTGAATATATCATCAACCTGCAATCGCGCTTGCTGGACTCCCAGGGCGAGGTTCCCGAGCTTCCTGGCAACATTGACCTGAACCAGCCACGGAATGACATCTCTGTTCCCCCGCCGGGGGCTCCGGCGGCCACCGGTCCCGCGCCAGGTCCTGGTGGTGCTCCGCAGCAAATGCAGGTCCCCAACCCTGGTGCTGCCACGAACGAAGACATGAACTCGCTGAATCGCATTGCGGTCGCTGGCCTGGGAATGCGCAAGCACCCTAATGAAGAAGCGAACTTCCTGGGGAACAACTTCCAGGCTCGTCGCCCGCGCAACGACGACGGGCAGCCCGATGGGTCTGAAGCAACGAAAACGGAGCCTGGTCACGGGTTGCCCGTTGTATCATGAGTGATTCAGATGTATCCGAACTCGATATTACCCTTGATTGTTGTCGCCATTCCTGTATTCTGTTGATTGCGAACGCCCGAGATATATCATCAGCTCCTTGCTTTTCTGTTTCGATATTCCTACCGTTGTCGTATCTTCTGGTGTATGGCGTGATGTAACTAGGTATCCATTCTGGCCTCGGAAGGAGCGGTGTTTTGTGCTTTTCATATTTGATGTCCATCCACAGCGTCAGCCACAGGAGTCTCCCGGGAAAGAAGAGGTGTAACCATTGTTGTTAATGCTCCTGGTGATTCTTTTCCCGTCTGCCGGTTGCCCGATGCATTGGCAGTGGGCGGAGGAGGCTTCTGGTATTTCCCCGTTCAACACTTGCATATGATGTTTGTTAGAGAGGGCCTTCCTGTGCGTCCGACGAGGACAAGGGGTCCAGGAAACAGACTGCTCGACTTGCTCATAGTAATCCATCTGTGTCTGCTCCTATGAACATGCTGCTCTATTTATCGTCCTTATGTGACCGTCAAAGACATAACCGAATAATCATTATATCCCGAACATTGAGGATGCAATAGTACTTTTATATTTCAGTAAAATGACCAGTCTCAGGTATCAGTTCCAGCATCCCATGTACACAAACCAAACCAAACAAGAACCAGTATCCAACCAAGCTTCAGCTTCCCAAGTAAAGCTAAGAAGCAACCCACAATGGCAGCGTTATCTCAAAACCCAAGGCTGAAGGCCACTGTGATTAGCGAATGATTCTATTGATAGTGCTAGCTGCATAAACAAACCCCGCCAGGCCAGCCAGTTTCAGTCCAGCCAAACCAACCAAGTTTGTCCAGTTTGTTTACCCCACTCCTAGTCTCTCCCCTCCACTTTGGCGCCTCCTGGGACCGAATGTTAGTTGAAGATAAAGTTAGTTGTTTTGATATTCCCAGCGTCTCTTTCTTCTCGCTCTCTCTTTACCCTCCTGCTGGGGTTCCTTTCTCCAGCATCTGTCTCTATTCGTTGTTCTTGCTCAGTTTTGTTTGTCCAGTGATACCCCAATGACAGCAAGATGACAGTTGCTGCGACTGTACTTCCCGCCGGCGAAGATGCGCCCGCATACCGCCCGCGCAGCTACCAGGTGGAGATGTTTGAGGCGAGTTTGAAGGAAAATATCATTGTCACGGTAATGAAATCTTACTATTTATGAAGGTTCAAGCTAATTTTCAGCAGATGGGAACTGGCAGTGGGAAAACTCACATGTATGTGTTATTTGCTGTTGATGCTTCTCCGCAGTGGAACTCTAATTGAGTTGACGGTTTCACTGCAGAGCTCTGCTGCGAATCATAAAGGAACTGGAGAGTAATCCGCACAAGGTGAGAAGGGCAATGAAACTATATCGGTGTATAAGTCACTAGCTTATGCATTACTCCAGTTGATCTGGTTCTTAACGCCCACTGTCGCTCTATGTCTGCAACAATTCAAGTTCCTCTCCGACAATATTCCCGCCGTCAGGGCTCGGACACTCACGAGTCTAGATAAGGTCGAGCTCTGGACAGAGCAGCCGGTCTGGGATGCTATCCTGAAGGAGATGCAGGTGGTGGTGTCCACGCATGCGGTTCTTGCCGATGCGATGAGCCATGGGTTCGTCAAGATCACCCAGCTGGGTCTGATGATTTTCGATGAAGGTATAGTAACGCGATGTCTAAATCCGGAGATTATGATGTAGGGGTTGTGTGGGTATACATGTGTCTGTGAGATGATAATTGCTTATGTGGTGTGTTTTATTGGCAGCCCATCATTGCATGCGACGCCACCCTGCGAATAAGATCATGCAGGACTTCTATCACCCTGCTCTGGAAAGGCATGGTGCAGAAGCTGTGCCTAAGATTCTGGGCCTCACGGCTAGTCCGGTGGTGAGATCGAATCGACAGGAGCTACTGTGAGTGTAGTATCATCGGCTGCCGGTGTTCTGGGCTGACCAGATCAGGAAGATTGAGTCCAATCTTGATGCGGTGTGCAAGACACCACGAACACATCGATCAGAGCTTATGACACATACTCATCGACCACATTTACAGCAGATATTATTTACTCCGGTCCTGCTCGACGATCTGCAGGTCGGAAGCAAGACATTGAAAGCTCTTGTGAGCGCCTGGACGTCTCTAAGACTCGAGGATGATCCGTACATCAAAAAATTGAGAAAGAGCCCCCTTGACGGAAGAGCCTTGCAAAAAGTCCTCGAGTCTGGGAAAACTTATTGCAATGATCAGCTAAAAAGATTTGCGACTAGAAGCCTGCACATCTTCGAAGAGCTCGGTGAATGGGCTGCCGACTACTTCATACACGCTTCCATTGAGCAGCTCAAAGCAAGAGCCGGTAATTCGGCGGATACCATGGGCTGGACCGACGAGGAGAAGGCATATCTATTAGATATCGTCTCGAAACTACCCATCCCGAATATTGATCTCACCCACTCAGACCCAGATAGAATACCTATTTCGTCGAAGTTCCGCTCCCTGCTGGAATTCTTGGATACAAAGGGCGAGCCCAACTTCTCTGGCCTGATATTTGCTAAACAGAGGGCTACAGTGAGCGTCATGGAAAAGCTACTGTCCATTCATCCTGTGACGAAACATCGTTTTCGATGCGCTTCCTTCGTCGGCTGGTCCGGCGGTGGTAGCAAAGACGTTTTGGGTGAGCTCCTGGACGCCCGTATGCAGCGTGATACACTGAGCGAGTTCCGGACCGGTCAGAAAAACCTGATTATTGCGACGGATGTGCTGGAGGAAGGCATTGACATTAGCGCTTGCAGTGTGGTGGTGTGCTTTGATAAGCCGCCGAACTTGAAATCGTTCGTGCAGAGACGAGGGCGCGCGCGGCACAGGCAATCAACCTACGCTATAATGTTTGCTACAGATGATGAATCTTCTGCACTGAGCAAGTGGGAGGACCTGGAACAGGCAATGATAGAAGCGTACGAGGATGACGAAAGGCGACTGCGCGAGGCGTGGGCCCTGGAGGCCATCAACGAAGAAGTGGTGGAAAGGCTTGAGGTGCAATCGACCGGGTATGGCACCGCACAGCAACCGCTAAACGTAAATTGATGCTGATATATCTCTCCAGCGCTGTCTTGACGGCTGACACTGCCGTTGCACATCTCAACCATTTCTGCGCAGTCCTGCCGCGTCAACCGTATGCGAGTAATGAGCCCGAGTTCTCATACGAGAAGGACGATGCGGACCTATTGAGAGGCACTGTCACTCTACCGTCCTGCGTCCATCCCGGAGTCCGTCGTATTCAGGGCCAGCGATGGTGGCAGACCGAGCGAGCAGCCCGGAAAGAAGCAGCCTTTCAAGCCTATAAACGTCTCTACGAGTTTGGTCTTCTGAGCGATCATCTACTTCCGTTTAAGAGGAATTTAGAGCTCAAAGAGACCGATCTTACCAATTTACCAGCCCTTGTGGAAGTATCGGAGCAGTACGATCCTTGGGTCGACTGGGCTTGTTCCTGGTCATCTCCCGATGTCCACCAAACGCGAATTGCCATAAAGCACAACGGGGACTCACGCATGTGTATCAGGTTGACTAGTCCAACGAGCCTGCCTCCAGTTGAACCAATGACCTTATTCTGGGATAGCGAGACAATATATACGTTGGATTTCGACAAACCAAAGCGAATGAAAGAAATTGCCGCTGAAAGCATTGAAAATATGAGACTGGCAACCGCGCTATACCTCCAGGCTGCAAGCTCTAGGCAAATGAGGCCTGAACAAGATTTTGTGACTTTGTTTGGACCGGACCTTACTGACCTTGAGTTGGCAGAATGGCTCAACAAGCACGCAGGAGACGAGCCTGCGCTAGAGGTCTACTCTCGCAAGGACTTTCCTACGGTCATGGGCATTGTGCGGGACCGTTCACGCTACAATGAGCCCATGCTTTTCAAAAGGTGGGTTGTGTCTGGACAAGATGACACGCCCATAGTCGAACTTGAATGCGACGCCGTCCCCAAGCGACGGAACCTGTTGCATCGGCAAACATTAGCTGCTAAGCAGCCTGATAGTGAAACACCTGCCATCTCCTCGAAGATACGGCTTATTCTTGCGGAAAATTGCACCATAGACAAACTCCCCTACGCCGAAACCATCTTCGGCCGCTTCATATCGGTTATACTGGATAGACTAGAAGCTACATTGGTTGCAACTAGACTATGTGAAACGATTCTACGCGATCTAGAATTTTCCAGCATTCGTCATATTATCACAGCCATCACCGCGCCAAGTGCGCAATCACTTACCAACTATCAGCGATACGAGTTCTTCGGAGACTCGGTCCTCAAATTCACCGTCTCATGCCAGCTTTTCTTCCAGCACCCCAACTGGCACGAGGGCTACCTTTCAGAAGGGCGAGACGAGATCGTCCAGAACTCCCGTCTAGCACGAGCCGCTCTCGACGCCGGCCTCGACGCCTTCATCATGAACAAGATGTTCACTCCTCGCAAATGGAGTGCCCCCCTCATCTCCGAAAAGATCAGCCTCACCCCCAAGCAGCGAACAATGTCCACCAAAGTGCTAGCCGACGTAGTCGAAGCCCTAATCGGAGCATCCTACATTGACGGAGGCTTCGCCGCAGCACACGCATGCATTCATCGCTTCCTCCCCGAAGTCAACCTCGAGAACATCGACCGCACCACAGCCCCGATGCCCAAAGACGGCGTCACGAACCACACCCTCAACGACGACCACCTAATGGCCCACATCGGCTACACCTTCACCAACAAATCCCTCCTCGTCGAATCCCTCACCCACCCATCCTGCCAATTCGACACAACCACCCAATCCTACCAACGCCTCGAATTCCTCGGCGACGCCGTCCTCGACATGGCCATCATGTCGACCCTTCTCTCCCACCCACGCGAGATCCCCCAAGGCCTAATGACCAAGATAAAACACGCCGTAGTAAACGCAAACCTCCTCGCCTTCTTCTGCATGGAATTCGCCCTCACCGAAAAACGCACCAACGTGCAAGTCACCCCCACCGGAACCGTAACCCTCAACCCCTCCACAGAACACATCGAACTCTGGCGTTTCATGCGATACCAAGGCGCCCATCTACAAACAGCCCGCGACCTCGCTCTATCCCGCCACAGCTCCCTCCGCGGATCCATCATCCACGGCCTTAAACACTCCCCATCCTACCCCTGGAAATCCCTTTCCCAGCTCAACGCCGATAAATTCTTCTCCGATATCATTGAAAGTATCCTCGGCGCTATCTTCATCGATTCGCATGGGAATCTGGCGGAATGTGAGAAATTCCTTGAACGGCTCGGTCTTTTGAGGTACTTGAGACGGATTCTTAAGGATGAGGTGGATGTTATGCATCCACGGAATATCGCGCAGCAGATGGCGAAGGGGGAGATTCGGTTTGAGGTCCTCCGCGTGCCGAATGAAGGTGGTGGTGGCGGGGAGGATGATGGAGCGACGTATCGGTGTACGGTGAAGATGGCGGGCGTGGACGGCGTGGCTGTTGTTGTAGAGGGATGTTTGACTAGTGAGGAGGCGGAGATTACGGCTGCGGAAAGGGCCGTGGAGATTTTGGTGGGGAGGGGATGTAGTTTGTGATTATTTGAATTGAACTGAAGTGAGTGACTGGGTTTTGGAGTTGGGGTTTGAGGGATGGTGTTTGGTTGTAGTTAAGCGATCTAAATGCATATTTTGGATATGAGAATCGACACTACTGGAAATTTCATACTTACTAACGGATATAACACTTGCAGATGGTTAAGCTTTGATCACCTGATATAGTGTGCCAGCGTTTACAGCCTCTATTTCTGAATAGTGGTCTGGATAACATGATCTGGTATTGATAACGATGCCACACGAAGAACCTAACTACATTGCAAAATAGCCTGTATCAGCATATCGTTATCCCTTCCTTTTCCCACCCTTAGCTCGAGACCGCGTCACCCTTTTACTGGGTTGTGGCTCAGGTTCTTCCTCTTCCTCATTCTCACTCTCTGCTACCTGCTCTACCTGTTCCTCTGATGTCTCGGCTCCCTCACTCTGCGACTCGAGCTGATCATCCTCGCTACCAGTAGCAGCCACCATGACGCCGTCATCCGTTACATCTCCTCCCACGGACGAGCGAGTCTCTGTACCATCAACACTGCCACTAGAGATATTGGACGACTGCTGCTGCTGCTCCTTGCGGATACCCGCCAGGACCTTCTTCGCTTCGCTTTCCTCACCGTTCCATGCGCCACAGTTCCCGCAACGCCAACGGCCTAGTTCTTCGAGCGTCTTGATACCTGGGGGCGCCTGACCATTCACCAGTCGACAGGTGGAGCAGATCAACGCGAGCCGGTTCTTAGGCTGGGTTTCATCCTCGCCTAGCAATACGTCCAGCAGGCGGTCGTACCAGTGAGACTGTTCCACATACTGCGTAGACGTGCTGGAGAATGCGTTCGGAGCGAATCCGGGTTCTTCGAGGCCCACGTTCATGCTTGGTGCACTCTGCTGCTGCTGTTGTAGTTGTTGCTGACCTGGGAACACGTGCGGAGACTGTTGGTGGTGCTGGAATGCGACCGGCGGGGTGGAAGGTGGTTGAGGAGAGGAGGGGAATTGTTGCGGTGCTGGTCGTCGAATATTCGCTGTCGGGGGCGGGGGGATACCCGTGCGCTGGACATGCTGCTGCTGCTGCTGGGATGGCTGTTTGCGCTTCGCTCCCTCGGACTTGTTGCGCTTTGCGTCGCCAGATTTGACCGAGTTCGAGCGCGCGGGCTTCGGCGACTCCCCACCATACTTCTCCAGCAGCTGTTGGGTGGAATTCCAGCGCGTGGCGGTCTTTAGATCCTCGATGGTTTTCTCACGCTGCTTATGGAGATCGTCGAGGTAGGCTTGGGTTTTGGTGATGCGATAGTCATAGTAGCGGGTGGAGATGGTGCGGATGAGGTAGATCCTGTATGGGAATGGTGGTTAGGAGTAGTGATGCAGGTGTGACGCTCCGCAATAGGGGTGGAGTGGGGGGTGGCAGGTCGCAGTGAGGGAGTAGATCAGGGGGAATTGTGGACGTACAGGATTGGACCACCGATAATCGCGCCGTATTCTGTGATTCCCCAATTCTGCCACCCGAGGACTAGAGCAATGATGATAGAATAGAGGAGGTAGGCGAAGGTAGTGTAGAGGGTCCAGAGGGCCTTGAAGCGACGGGCATGTTGACGGTGGAGGTCGAGACGGGTGGTGGCTCGAGTGATCTTGGTGGAGAGTGCGGCGAGGGCTTTTTCAAAGGATGCTGGAGAGGTATCCTCGGCCTGAGAATGAGGTTTAATTGTGAGTTGGTGGATTGGAGACTGGCGGTGATGGGGACTTACCCTGAAGGGCCACAGGGACACCATGACGGGCTATCTGCCTAGGGAGTGTGTTTGGTAGTAACCTAATCGAATAATACAGGTCGCACTAGGAGAAGGACATGGTAGCTGGAAAAATAGGAAGCTGAAAGAGAGACCAGGGTGGAATGGAGAGAAGAGAAAGAGAGGGAAGGAAAGGAAAAGAGAGGCGGAGAGGAAGCCGTGAAGAGGGAAGAGCGAGTAAGTGGATGCAGGCAGAAAGTGAGAGCGACTGACGGACTCCATCGACGTCAACGTCAGCAGCTCTCGCACAGACCAACTGGTTCATACTCGCTCCATCTTCGCTCTCTCTTCCACTCTCTTTCTTCTACTCTCCGTCGCTTCCACTCACCGCTATTACTAGACCCCGCTGGTTCTACTTCGCTACGGTGTTCCTTTCTCTTCAGGACATGTTACTACCACACAAATTCGGCGGTGATCCCGTTCAATCCCCGAACCGGGCTCCAACACGATGATCTCTCCATCGCCGTTCTGATAGTCTCCGCATCCAACGCTGGACGACACCTCATTCATATAAATCCAAGGCCAACCGGGGTGGATCTGATCAAATTAGGTGTTTAAGTGTGCGCGCAATAACTTCCATACCTGCCCAGGGACCTCACAGCTCCCGTCCGGTCATCCAGTCACGCTGGCCACGTGACTCGCAGGGTCTCATTGCTTGTTTCAGAACTCAGCTCCATTCTACACTTGAGTAGGGAGTTGCCAAAACTTCTTGCGGACACGTTAATTAACCCGTTCGGAGTCAGACTGATGTCGGATATCTACAAAAAGTATTCGGTCTCGTGACGGACACACGGCCTAGTACTTCCGCGAACCTTCCTTTTTGCAAGTCTTATAGTTTTGCCTTCAAGACTATCATGAAGCTAGTCACTCTGGTACGGGAATATCCCCGGTTCTGTTCCGCAACATAGCGTGTGGATGTTCACCCTCGGTGCATCTAAGCAAGGGTCTTCGGAGGTCTCCCTACCTGCAATATCATCATCGAGCTCGCCACTCTCTGGCCAGAAGACCCCAGATACCTACTAGTGCATTACCGACAATCTGGTAGGTATTGGACCAGGCCTCGCGTAATTCAAGACCCATCACCACTACTCGTCGACGTCTCAGACCCAGTTCTCGTGAAGCGTCATGGCAGCCCTGTAGCTTCTAGCAACTCCTGGTAATGTACACAATCATGATCATCCCACCGTTGAAGCCGCAGTCATCTAGTCACGCAAGGAAGGCTATGTCGGATACGGCTTTCTGTATAGACACATCTTCTAGCCCGGAAGCCCGGATATGACACTGCCCCAGGTGGCTCGCACGCTGCCGCAAGGCTGCTGCCATTGAATCCCCACGGCCTTCCTCTTTCTGGGTCGTTTTCTTGGCTATGTACCAACCTGCCAAGCCTTCAATGCCCGTAAGCGCGCCCAAATCGTCCGACAGACCAGCCTAAGATTCTGGTCGCAGATTCTCCCACAACCATAAGCCTCATCGTTCCGGGCCCATGGCGAAAGTAATTGTTCAGATGTTGTCGCAGTGAACTTGGATATGGTAGAGAACATCAGATCTTGCAAGGTTCCTTGCCTTCTGGCGTTCGTTCATCTTTCAACATCCGGGTAACACCGATGCCTCCGAACCATCCGAACTGGAGATCCAAGATGACGCATGTTTAGGATCGGCGTCGATCCCCGTCGCATGAATTGCTGGGGTGTCCGGGGAAGTTGAGCGATGTCGCAGGGATGTTACATCGGGGAAAGTATATCATCCTTCCCGTCGTCTTTATTTGGCATCCGCCTTACGGCACCAGCTCGTATTCCTAGACTCCGCCTTCCCAATCGTTCGACTTCCCTGGGCTGGCAAATCATTCAATCCGCCATTGCCAGTGAAGATCATAAGCATCATACATTATGAGCATTATACTGACCGCAAGACAACATGCCACTGTGTAGGGACCATCACCGGCATCGAATGCGGCCTGCAATGCCTGTTGACATGGGCTTCTCGTATTCACGCAACAACACGAGCTCTCCGCCGCGCTGTTTCTACGATTGGAGAGTCAAGGATCTCCAGGCTCGCCATCGCATCGACTCGATGCTGAAGGTTTGAGACCTGCATCTCACCCTCACGTGCCCACCATGCGATGTCATAAATATCCGTCCCGATTTGGTAATCCACCATTCGGATGCCTCTTATTCGACTCTCGGCGGCGCCGGGAAGGACTTTTATCGAAACCCTGTCTCATGACGTCGGCTTGAATTAGTCTACACTCGGCTGTATGCGACAGATCGTGAATCCAGTCGACGTCAACCAAAGTCATGGAACGCCTGAAGCCGTGGCAGGGTGTCTACGACCCGGCAGGATGTAAGACAGATACGAAGTGCCAGAGACCCCATGACAGCCTCGACAAGATATTCATGCCCTTCAGTACAAGGAGCGAAAGGCAAAGGTATAAAGCAGGCCTTCTCCCTCGACATTTCAAGGACCATTCCAGCAACACAGCAGCATTCCATTCCTACTTGTCTCCGGACCATCACCATCAATCAACCATCTACTACTACCTTCTTCTAAACAAACACCACCATCCCTCAAGATGAAGTCGATCAGTGCCGTCCTCATTGCCCTTCTGGCTGCCTCTGTCTCTGCGGGCCCCGTCGTTACCACCGTGACCATTGCCCTGGCCAACGACCAAACTGGTGCCCAGGGAAGTGCCGCCATCCCCGCCGACGGCAGCGAACAGAGCATCTCCGCACTGTACGGAGGTACCGGAGTCGGTTCCGGTGGAGTCATCAAGGCCTCGTCGGCGCAATTGACCAACTTCCAGGCGAACACCAACTGCGTGATCACGAAATACGGATCGGTTCTGGCCACCCTGAACTCCCGGAACACCTATGTGGACTTGGATGGAAACCCGAGTGCTGCGCAGCCGGTGGATCTGAGTGCTGCCAGCGTCAAGTGCACTGTCTAGGCGCTATTTCTAGTGGCATATCACCTTGGATTCTGATGTGAGGGGATAGATGTCTGGGTCATATTGGTCGGAGGGGTCAAAGACGATGGAGATTTATGAGAGGGCTAATGCCAGGAATTTCGGGTTACTCATGTCGATATACATACATACATACAATGAAGTGAATATCCTGCGTTCCATGATAAGTAGGGCCTGTAGCTGTTCCAGTAGATGCCATCACAATGCAGTAGAAGTCACCCTAATTGCCTTGCCAAGGAGACAGTCAATAGCAGAGTATATTGAAGTTGTTCTTCAAGAAATGACAGCAGGCCCACAAGAAACCTTATCTGGCGGCCCAAGTCATCCGAGGGCCATGACTTTCCTGTCCGTCTCCGGATCCGAGTCCCCGGACATCTCCTCCGTTGCTCAACCGAGGGTGACTCTGTTCAAATTTGTCTGTGCGCATCCCCAGACTCATGGAACTGCCTCCACAATACATCTAATAGCTCTATAGAGGAGTATCATGGTTTCTCGGGGACTATAGCATCAAGGTACTAGTATGCCGCCGACAGTCAGCACAAAACAAGCATCAGTTCACTCCGTGATGCACAAGCAACTACTAGTTCGGCTTACATCTCCTGACCAAAATATTCCACCTTGCGACCAACTGATCAACAAGTGGATGAACTGCTCTCAGCTGTCCCCCACTTTTGTTGCTGCAAACCAACACGACGATCTCCCGTGGGCCTCGAGAATCCTTGCTTTGTTTGTAGCTCTGCAGCTCCGCAGCGGCGGCTCCAGACCCTTGCAGGTGCCGCTCTCAACCAAGGATCCGACGATGAACATATCAGAACTTTATCTGAGGTTGAGGGTTAGTTCTATGCAGCCCCGGAGATGTTTTCTCCTCCATCCACATCTGGTTCGGATATAGGACTTTCAACTTCATCTGTTGAACTACACACATTCAAGTCGAGTCTTTGTTATACTCAAACCCATAGCATAGACCTCACATCAAACCCATACCTTATATACTTCCTATCACATCTCTCCATGGAACCCTACCCCTTATCCTTGAACCACGCAATGACCAAACAACCGCCATGAACACCACCACCACCACCACAGCTATAGCATCCTACTACACCCTCCCCCGCGCAGACAGCTACACCGCGATATCCCTCATCTCCATCTCCACCTTCACCTGTCTCCTCCTCTACTACCTCATCTTCGACCTCTCCTTCTTCACAACAACATCCACATCCACATCCACGAAACCCCGCCCTCTAACAGTCCCAACCACCACCCTCCTAACAACCACCACCACCACCCTCCTCTCCAGCACCTTCTGCATCCTCCTCCTCTTCCACCACACCCACACACCCACCCGCATCGCCTCAGCCATCCTCTTCGTCCTCACCACCACAGCAGCCAGCATCACCAACACCCTCCTCCTCTACTTCTCCCTCCCACTAATAACAATCCACCAACGCCCTCAAGCCCACTTCCAGCTCCGGATTCAACGAATCCTCCTCTCCACCATAATAGCAACCATCCTACTCTTCCAACTCCCCCACGTGATCGTCGCTCCCGCCGCAGCCACCCTCTACAAAGACGGCCACTGGACGCACGCAGTCACAATCCTCTCACGGATCTCCGTCACGGCGTACTGCACGCGAGAAATACTCCTCCTGGCTGTCTATACCTGGGGTGTGATCAAATACCTCCGACCTGTTATACACCACTTCCACTATGAATCAACCCACCAAGACAGACAACGAATCTGCTCCACCCTCCTCGTAGCAGGCTGCATCTCCCTCATCCTCAACATAGCCAACATCGTGGCCGTGTATACTGTTCACAACGCCGCGGCGATGGCTTTCTTCCCATTCGTGGTTAGTACCAAGGTCCTCGTTGAGGGTGTGGCGGTGGGGAGGCTCGTTGGGTTTGTTGGTGCGTCGCGACAGCCGAGGTGTGTGTATTCGATTCATGGGGGTGGTGGTGGTGGTGACTCGAGGAGGGGGAGTGCGCAGCCGCTTATTACTTCTACTTATTCTTCTGCGTCGACTATGTCTGGGGGTCTTGGGGCTGTGGAGACGAAGGATTGTGGTAGTGACCGGGATGAAAGTCCGGTGGGTGTCCAGGGGAGGGATAAAGAGTGGTATACTAGGAACAGGATTGGGTCTGTTGATACGATTGTGTCTGTGGCGGAGCCGCCGCTGGCTCATTCGGTGGGGCATTTGGTGCAGGAGATGCCGGATTTAGAGGGTGGTAGTGGTGTTTGGTGTTAGTCGGCGGATGTCGGTGGTATAGATAGGGATCAGTTTAATGACTTGGGAACTGCTTTGGCTGTTTTTTTTTGGGTATGATTGCGTGATGAATGATGTCATGTCAAGTACTAGCATCTTTGCTAGATATATTGTGATACTATTAAGGAGTTTTACATTGGATGTTTGCGGTAATTCTTCTTAAGCCCTCGTACATATTATAGTACTACTTACGTAGTAGTCATTCTAGTAAGAGTCATAATACGTGTGTTTGTGATTTGATATACAACAGTAATGAACAGGTCGAAGTCTGATCGACATCCAGCAAGAAAGTCGCTCAAAAGATACCAGGATAAACCCGAACCCTACCCAGTAGAACCAAAACAGAAAATCCTTGTAAGAAATAAATAGATAGTAAACCGAACCAATTGCTATATGGCTGTACGTGTGCTCATAGACCATTAGAGATAACATAAAATGCATAAAACCAGACCAACCAACCAGGCCATGATAGATGAAGGACGCAGATCCCATGAGTTCAAAACACAAAGATATGAGCCTAGACAAATCAACTAATGGGGTATACATGGACAAAGTAATGTAGAATTTTCACAAGACAAGGCTTCAATCAGGTCGAACACACGTAAAATGCCGATCATTCATTTTCTTTCGTCATGTCGCGGTCGTGACTTTTGTGTGCTTCTGTAAGCTAGGTGGAGATAATCATGCGCTCAAAATGCATGACAAGAAAGACACAACAGAATTTCTCTGGTGTGGAGATTCGTTATTTTGCGGATGAGAAGGGAGGGGAGCGATGGATGATGATAAGCGGAAGGCAGAAAAGCGTGTACTACTGCTTTTCTTCAGGAATAGGCGTGAACCAGCCGCCTTGTTCCCAGTCACAGCCAGGATGATACGTGGCAGAATTTCTTGTATCCCCCGTTTGGAGGCCTTCCAAAAGGACATTGAGCCGGTTGAAGTTGATGGGCTTCATGACCCACCCGTCGAAGCCTGCATCGACATATAAGGACATGTCCTTCTCTAGAAGAGAAGCAGAAACTGCAAATATAGGGATCCGATTGTTCAACTTTGCGACCGAAGAGAGCGCGGTCGAATCAGACGAAGTCTCAAATTCGCGGATCATCTTGGTCGAGTTGATACCATCCACGATCGGCATCTAGCCCACATTAGCGCGCCTATAATGATAAAAACTTGGCAGGGAACTCACCTGGATGTCCATCAAGACGACGTCAAATTGCGCAGAATCGGCCCGGTATGCAGCTGCGCATTCTTCGCCGTTTACTGTCAGTTGAACGGTGTGGCCTAGCTTTCCAAGCCTCTTCTGTACAATCTTGCCATTGATAGGGTCGTCTTCAGCCACAAGAACGCGGTACTTGCCAGGTGGGGCTTTGGCGTCTGATTCGGCAGGGGGAGCACTCGTTGGAGCGGGTCCTGCAGGGCCTGCACTAGTAATTGCTGGTTTGTCGGATATGGCGAGATTCTGCACGTTCTGCTGCAAGGCACGTGTGACATCATCCAACCTTTCAGGGGTTGAAGGCAGCGTGACGAGTTTTCGGCGATCTGAAGAGGGAAGCAGACCAGCAGCTTCGTCTTTCGTACGATCAATAGAATCCTCTGCTACCAGTTTGGCGTCCAGTTCATCTGCAGACGGGCTAATCGTGCCGCGATGGCTACCACTACGTCGCCATCCATCACTTGGTGCAGACGAGCTGCTGTCGACTAAAATAAACTCTTCCTTGGCCTCAAAAGGAGTGGCATCACCCTCCTGCGTGGACGGCTGTGGGGTTTCGGGTTGGTCGGAACCCGTATCGTCTGGAGTAGAAAACTGTAGCGAGATCTGGAAGCGGCTACCCTTGCCCTCCTCCGACCGCACCGTGAGCTGACCGTGGGTATTCCGTACGATGCGAGACACCAAAGCGAGCCCCAGTCCGAGGACACCTTTCCCGCGTTCAACCTCGGTATGCTGCGAGTCATTGTTCGGACCTCGGTCGAAAAAGTAGCTGTCGTCCTCCGAGGAGACCTGCTCCAGTTCCTGGAACATCGTCTCCAGCATAGCGTCAGACATTCCAGTCCCCGTATCAAGCACTGTCATGTGTATGGTTGCAAACCCAGGCTCCGGATTGCCAGGAGCCCGCCACATTTCGACAGTGACGCCACCCGTAGATGTATGCTGAATGGCATTCGAGATTAGATTTGAAATTGCTTGCCGAACGCGCCGTTCATCGCCCAAAACGGTCTTTGGGAGACCGGGATGGGCGTGAACAGTATACTCAATTCCTTTCCGGTGCGCCTCGCCGGAAAACATGGCGGTCGCTTCCTTGAAACACAAGGGCAGATCAAAGGGTTCATCTTTAATCAGATTGTGTCCCTTTTCGGTGTTGGTCAGGTCCAATAGGTCGTTGATGACATATATCAATGATTTGGAGGCGGAGTATGATTTAGTAAGATTGTCGCGAGTCTCCGTGTCCAAGGCACCTTCTAGAGCAATTTCCAGATAATTGACAATGGCATTCAGCGGAGTTCGGACTTCATGGGCCGAATTGGCCAGAAGCAGCTTCGTCAACTGCGAACCTTCCAGAGCAGCCTCTTGTTGTCTCCACACTTTAATGAACTTGCCATAGACCAGGCATAAGACGGCTGCAGTCTCTACTTCCGATTCGGACCATTCACGAGCCCGGTCCATCACTGTCTCAGTCCACACCTGGAAACTTGCGCGAGGCTCGAGGTGACCATTCTGCAGAAGTTTCGTATAAGGATTGCCACCCCATTTGATCTGCGTCAGCTCGCCCTTCCGGAAGAAGACTATAAAGTCCTTGCCATCGGCCGATAGAGGCACATATAACATGCCCGAGATCTCCTTGAAGCCCGGCGGATAACGCAGGTCTGGAAAATCCTTCTTCACGTGATGCGACGCAACGACGGAATTGAGCTGGCGGATCTTGAGAAACTCCAACAAAGCCAGCATCTCTTGTGACTCGGTTGACTTCCCGAGGATTTTAGTCTCCCCTCTAATTGACAATGCGCCATAGTCCGCATCAAAAAGCTTCAGCAAGTCATCCGATGAGGCAATTATATAACCCGAGGGGTTGGCATCCGTAGGAATAGTGTTGAGAAGCTTGCGAGCCTGAAGACGTGATGCGTAAGAGAGACGCTCAATGTTCCGTGAGAGTGTATCGCCGATCAACCGACACATTTTCCGAATTGGGAAAGGTACCCTCATGCCGGTGTCTCCATAGGAGTGACAGGAGATCAGACCCCAAAGATCATGCGTGTTGTTGATACTGATCGACATGGACGCACGGACCCCCATGTTCGCCAAGTACTTGATGTGGATAGGCGACATTGCACGCAAGTAGGCATGTGTCATGTCCAGAGGTGTCTTGAGATCCTCGATGCCTCGACACACCAACCGTGAGCTCATCTGGTCACGGTCGTAGAGTATGCGCACTTTGTTGAGACGATACAAGTCGCGGGCTTGCTTTGGGATATCCGTTGACGGGAAATGTAATCCCTTATACAAGTCCTTGGTCATTCTTGTGTCGACTAATTCTGCCACCACATCTCCGTTGGCCTCACTATCAAACTGATATATCATCACGCGGTGAAATCCAGTCAACTCTTTAACTATGCCAATCGTGATGTTGAGCAAGGCGTCCATATTTTGGGCATCACCAAGCTGATCCTGGATCTGACTAACAATACTGAACACCTCCATGGCGGCTGCTTCACCCCTCCTTCTGCGTGCATTCCGAAGCACTCGTAACGGCTGGCTAATGTTCACAGTGCTGCTTGCTAATTGATCTGGGGTTGGCTCAAAGCCCAGAGTCACTGTCGGGGATGTAGGTGTCGTGCGTCCAGCAACGTTGAGAGGATTGATGCGGTCGTCTTCCAATTCGAACTCACAAATGATCACATCCCGGTGAGCGGTATTAACATGAATGGCACACCAAAAGCGCCGAGGCCGCCCGAATCGGTCTTTGACAGCCAGAATGAAAACCTCCGGGCCATCACTAACGGGATCATATCCATCGTCTCGAATGAAGTCAATGTGATCGAGGAGGATGTCGGTCTGATCATCTTGCAGGAGGTCAGTGAAACTCTCCAGCGCAAAAAGGTTGCTTGGCGAGTGACCCAGAATAGCTTCTGAGTTCTCACTCGCTACATGGACCGCTAAAGAACCCTCGGGTGTCTCGCGCAAAACGAGCATGACGCCAAAGGTTTGCACGGCGCCCGGGATGTGGATTGGTTCGTCTTCACAGGCCCGAAAGGAATCAGGTGTATTGCCTGTGATGACAGCATGACCCGCCGCCGTAACCACGTGCTGGAATCGCGAAGTAACAAGGCTCGCATGGCCCTCTTCCGGTGCCACCTTCCTGTACGTGGAGCTTTCGTCCGGCGGAGCGTCTCGCTCGGCAGCGCTCGAGGCCGGTGAGAAGACGTTAGGAGATTGCTGCTGCGAGAGCCGATCGGTCGACTCGGGCGTATGAACAGGCGCATTAGGAGAAGGGTTGGTATGCGGCGAACTAGTGGGCTGCGAACTCAATTGGTCCCAGGTATCGGCGTCGATGATTGAATAAGAGCGAGCACCACTTCGCGGCGAACGGATTTCATTCGGTATACCTTGCTGATTGGGATCCGTAGCAGCGGGGTTGAAGGAAATGATTGACCGAATAGGATATACTCGGTCCGTGCCGCCTACAGTTGCACCATCCATGGAGGTATTGTGGCCTTGATCTGAAACCGGGGTTCCTTCGTGAGCTCCAGGAGTGCGAGGATCAAAATCCGTGCCCCGGCCCGCCGAGGAGGCGGGGGCATTGTGCGAATCCATTTTCGGACTAGGGGGGGAGAGGAACAGTGGTCCGGTAGGAAACTGTGTATTCTCCACCAGTGTCAAGGGGACATTGGTGTGAATCGTTTCAACTGGGTGACATGGGCGATGTGAAACGTATGATTCCCATCCGAATAAAAGGACGCTCTCCCAAGTGACTGTGAAGAGATATCAAGGTCGGTGGCTCTAGATAGCTTGCGGGGCTGAACTGCTCGATAGGGGGAACGGAACCGCAATGGGATACTCGACGCACAAGATGACGCGGGGTAGGACAAAGCGGAGGATATGGGGATGAGTCTGGAGTATACTGACGAGGGGTTAGCGGTGACTTGGCAGGCTGGATCAATGTAGTAGCTAGTAGTTGCCACTATACTCGACCAGACGGGGAAGATAAACCAAAACACATACTAACAGTAGGTGAAGACGGGGAGGCTGAGACCCGGGGGGCGGAGGGGTGTGGTGGCAGGCGGGCTGATAGTAAGGAGTAATATACTACCACTATATAGATGGTCGCAGCGGCGAAAGGTGATTTAGTTTGTCGCAATGCCCGAACAGTCAGATGGAGCCCGGTTACCGACCGAGAGGTAAGGTATTCGGGAATCCAAACGCCCCTTAAGCGAGGGTTTCTAGCGAAGAAACAGGCAGATGGAGCAGTCAGAGGAGGAGGAAAAAGAATCAATTTCATGAGGGACGGACTCTCTGTCGTTCCCCATGGGTTGGACTGCCAGATGGAGCGGGTAAGCGATGGCCGGATGCCTTCTTTGGGGTTAGCGGCCAGCCGTTGGTGGCCAAAAGTTGGCAGGGACCAATCAGCAGCGCGGGTGATCCCTCCACTGGACGTCCCGCCCGACTGGGAAAAAAGATGAATTCCAGCCCGCGATTCACCACGATCGGGTAGTGTCCCTGCCAATCACAGCCCTGCAAAACCCGTGACGAGTGCCGTTTCCAGGCTAGCCTTGCATTTTGCCAGTTGATCTCTGCATTCCTCATCAAGTTAGCACAGTACCTGGATGGCTAACTCAGTCAGTCAGCCTATGATCACAGTATCTTCCGAGTCAGTAATGATGAAAGTACAAAAGTGTGACAGCATTGGGGCCAGGGTTCACCTACCACACCTCCCAAACTTATCGACCCGGATAATAATTTAGAGTGAGATGAAACCTTCAGACAACCTCTCCGTGAACGTCTCGTTCCAGAGATTGAAGTTGACCTGTTGATGACATCATCGCAGTCCTCCAGGGTTACAGGCCAGTTAGTCATGTTCATCCCAAATAATTGGGTAGCTTTAAGCAACCGTTCAACAACAATGACAACAATGAATTCATCCTGGTCGGAAAGTTCAGTGGCACTGGCAGTGACAGCGCCACGTACCATTGCATCCGACTCCCAGGAATCAGGTACGATTCTTTCTTCGAAGAGTCTTTCTTTCTAAGAAAAGTATTTGACTGCATGTAAGGTTAACCCCGTCGCAGCTGCCAGGTGGAGACTCCCTTTCCCCCTATCAGTCCGATTCAATAATCGGCCCTGTCGGCTTGGGCTATCCTTCGGTGTATGCGCCCTTCCATGATTCGCACATTGACCGTCAGGCCGCATAAGAAACCCCCAATAAGCAGGATACAGGCTTCCCCATTTACTGGACCCAAGAGTTCCCCCATTACGCAGGTGACGCCCCTGGCGAGCCACTGGACTCCGCTTCTCATGACGGATACCGGAACTAGACTATATGATACCTCATTAAGGGCTCCTCTCTGGACTCCATTTGGCTCGGACTGGTCCACGCCCATAACCACTAGCTTGCCGACGTACCGCACCTATCTCATGCACGGGTCCGAGCTATCTCACGAATCGCCCGGTTGCTTGGCCAGTGCTGCGGGTGACGATAGTTCCAATTTTCCGGGACGTCGGACTAGTTCCGACCCACCAGAGGCGATTTTCTCTTTCGGCCGGGCTCGTTCAGGGCCCTGCGGACACGCTCTATGGCTGTCTACGGGGATCTACGGGGCACTACTACTTACTGTGCTTGTCTTGCCATCATCTGAACCTTCGAGCCGCCCGGTCATCCACCTACGTCCGAACAAGGTATACGTACACATGAGTGATCATCTATCGTAGCATGATAATAGTTTATGTACAGATGTAGTATATACAGGAATAATGGTCATGACGTATACATGGTTTTTACATGGGATCGGAGTGACAAGACTCTGGTCCGGGCAGCCATGTATGGGCGAACCTAGCCATCGCTGCAGCCACATTTCCCGCATTCCCGGCCATTTGCTGTACAATGCACGGGAAACCTGCTTGGGTGGCGGGCCCTTCACCAGGGCAGAGGCCGTTCTCTGCGGACTGGTACCCGATATCAGTATCGGTGTAGCCCTGGTGTGAGATATATCACAGCCTGAGATTGTATATACATGCAGCCAAGGTTTGCGGCACGGAGATGAATTCGAAGGTCAGGAAGGCCGTTCTATTTCCGATGAGGTGACATGCTGACTTCGGCGATCGGATAGGACCAGGCTGTCCATGGAGATGGCGGTCCACGGGTACTGCGACTGCCGTCGACTGTAGGCGGGGGCAGCACGTGTCACATCTCCCGTGATCTGGTTGGGATCAACAAATGTCGGGTAGGTGTCCTGATCCGAGGAGCTCGACTCCGCCGGGCGGGCATGGACCAGTGAAACCAGTTTCCTCAGGACGCCGAATTCCAGCTTCAGCTTCACACTGTAGACTGCAGCCTTCAAGGTGGTCTGGAGTGTGTAGAGTCCGACATACTCCAGAACCAGGAGCGCGATATCTAGGAGAATGATCACCAGGTTGATGGCTATTAATTCATACATGGTCTTATGCCGTTCAGCGTCCTTTTCGGGCCGCAAACGTAGCAGCTTCAAAGTCTCGGCGATGTAGATGAGCGAGATGAGAATTTCCTGTGCGCAAAACCAAGCCAGCTGCATTCGCTCCATCACATTGAACCCCCGAATCACGGGCGTGGTGCGGACATAGATCGTGCAATAGGTGAGCACAGTCGTCGGAATAAGTAGGACAATCGTGTCGAAGATAATCAGGTACAGCACCCGCCGCAGCAGCGTTTGGCTCTGTACGACCAAGTGGAGTCGGGAGTAGAGGACGATGGACTGGCCGGGGACCATGAAGTAAAAGCCTATTGTAGAAAAGGTGACTGCAAACCAGAGAGGCCCGATAGCGAAGAACTATAGCAGAAAGCCGATTGCTTGGGGGATGACGCCAAGCACGGCGGAGAGCAACATGGCCCAGAAATAGAGACCGCTGTAGCGAGTGAAGGTGAGGAAAATGAGAATGACGAGTTCCACAGCATTATACAAAGCAATTGCACAGAAGACTGCCATCATAATCTTGATGGCCATGCTACCACCCTGATAACCTCCAACGAGGCCCTCGGGCGGTTTGGAAAGAGAATCCCACATCTTTGGGGATCGGTGACCTCGATCACAAGGTCAGGCTGACACAGTAGTTTTACATCCACCTTCCCAGGAAATGGTCAGAGGACAAGGGCAGTAGGCCGGTTGTAGATTCCGATTGCGACGGGTTTAGAAGGTAGCGCCATGTCAAATCGGTGTCGCAGTCCAGCAAATCGGCCTATACGTCCCAACAAGCAAAAAAATAAGACGAAGCAGAAGTACTTGTGAAGCCAAACCACGTCTTCCTTTGCATCCTTCTCTTCCCAATCGAATGACTGGCCAGCCGATCGCAAGGAGTCTCTGGAGCCTCCTAGGTGCCAGATTAGCCTTCTTCAAGTGAGGCGCAGCGTCCGTTTTACAGGACAGCCATGAAACGCACACAAGCGCCAACTTCTCAATACTGAAGTCAAGGGCAGAACGCTAGTGGGAGGAAAAGAGACTCTGGTGGCGATGTTGAGTGATTGTTCGCACCGTTCGTCGCAAGTTGAAGGGGGAGAGGACGTCTTCAAGGGCGACAAGGGGAAGGATCGGAAGGTTTTGGAGCGGCGCCACTGAAGGTCTATTTTAATCGTATCGCTGAAGGAGCAATCAGAACGAACAGTGAAAGAAAGATGACGGCCAGTAGAGGAAAGAATAGAGTAAAAGAAAGAAAGCCGTTAACACCCGGACGTGGGGGTTGGTTGTCAATTCCAAAAGATTGAGGGACTAAAAAGAGAGAAAAGAAGATGAAATAGGGAAAGGAGCGGGGAGGCGAAAGAAGAGCGACAGAGAGCGAGCGGAGAGAAGGGAAGAGGAGAAGCGAAGGAAGAGAAGGGACTAGATTATTGGATTATGGAGTCGGGGGGGTGGGAGATGGGGGGAGGGGAAAGTGGTTGGAAGACTTCGCTGGGACTAGTCAGGAAGAAGTCCGGGGTTGAACCCGCCTGCCTGCCTGCCTGTGTTCGGGGAACCTGGCATTTGCTGCGGCGGCGCCTCTGGGCAACTTTTGCAGGCTTGGGCCTCTGGACCGGCAGACACAAACTCCGTGGGGGGGCGGTGTTAAGGGTCTCCCAGCAGGTACCAGACCTACTGGACTAAGTAAGTAATCATGGGCGCATACTTTAGCGTACCGAATAACCCGCTGCTCTGGTTCTCCCCGGCTGGTTCATCGGGTCTTCCAATAGCCGAACTCAGCCAAGACTGTGGCTGGTGGTCTGGTATTTGGTATTTGCGAGGGTCACATGGTTCACCCGCTCTCCTCGTCTAATTTCCCTGGACTGTCGGTTCAACTCCCTTGCCCCCTCGTCTCCTATTGACTGTCTTGAACTTGTTCTTCCGCCGTCTCGTCCGAAAGATACCCAAAATAGATATGAGCTACCCCGAGGTCCAACCTTTCCCTGTCTCTTTTGCTTTACCCCGGATTCCTGGTTCCAGTATCACGAACCAAAGAGCACAACCCCCCCTTGGAACTTTAAACTTTGATGGATCTAGCATCTTCTCGTATACAGAGTACACTTCCCTCCATCTGCACAGATCGCGCAAGGATCTGCATAGTTGGGACTCAGCCGGGAACGAAATCTGGCCAGTGCCACAACAAGCTGTTCAAGCCATGTGCTAAAGTTCCGCATTCCATCGATCCCATTGTTGTAGACCCGAAGCCACTGGTTTTCCTAAATCTATAGTAACTTGGCTTCGGATGAGAGCGCCAGCCTACTACAATGGCATGAACTCCTCTCGCATACTTTGATTTGCCTAGGCCGGTACCATTGTCTCCTTTCTACACATACTCTCAACATCCCAGTCCTCGCTACCGACTCCATTCCGCACCACGAACAGCCCGGCCGGATCCCATCGGCTCTTGATTCGACGCAATCGGCCATAATGATGACCCCAGAAAGCATTCTGGAAGTCACTCTGATCGGGGTCTGCCTCGTTGAAGTAGACACCACCTCCCTCGGGATCGATGGAGGCGAGAATGGGTGTATTGGTCTGGGACAGCGTTTGATGTGCGGCTGATTGAGCTTCGGGTGTGGGCGGGAATGATTGCATCAGGACTACAAGGAGGGACGATGACCGCCACAGCGGATTGACAGATGCGTCCTCGTCCTTGGCGTTGAGGTTAATCTGCCCCCCTAGCACATTGACCGTGATCAGTGCCCCAGGGTCCAACATCAACTTGGAAAAGGATGCTGTCAGTCTTGAAGCGCCGGCGGTGCTATTCATGAATGATTCGGATATCACTACGCTGCTTTGCAGGTATCCGATCCCGCCAATGTCCACCTGTTTGGGAATGGTGAGGAATGCGCTGATCTTGGAGTACTCGGCCAACTCATATTGATACTCGATACCAAACCAGTCAAGAAACCTCAGAAAGGGCGGAATCTGTTCCTCAACCAATTCTGATTCGGTGTCGTCCCAGACAAACATTGTCCAATTCACATACCAATGGTAATTTGGCAGATGACCTACTATGTACTGTCCCGAATTTCCGTTAACCGACATGGATTGCGTGAGTCGCACAACCTGCGCTACTGCTTGCCAGAAGACATCATTTGCTCGTGGATAGATGAAGTGAACGGTCGGGATAACCGCTGGAATATCTGGAAATGCTCGCATCGTGGCCTTGGTGACAACACCATAAGTGCCTCCTCCGCCTCCCCGGAGGGCCCAGAACAAATCGTCATGTTGGTATCCATTCGCAGTGACTATCTCGCCCTGCGTTCATTAGCTCCATGAGAACCTAAGAAAAAGGTCCATGTACCTGTGCGGTCACAACCTCCAGTTCCAGAACATGATCGACCGCCAGTCCATACATTGGACTAAGAACTGTTGACACTCCACCTCCCTGGAGATATCCTCCGGCAACCCCGACTGTGGAACATTCTCCGGCTACCACAATAAGCCCTCGAGCAGCAGCGGCGGCATAAAGCTCACCTACCATGACTCCGGCCCCTATCGTCACCGCAGGCACCCCACTGGCGTTGGGGTTATCCATTCCCAAATCCCCTTGGGAAGGCACGAAGTCATCATGGAAGGTTATGTCTTTCAGACGATTCGTGAGGATTTGGAGAGAATGGGGAGCACCGGAGCGACCAGTTGAGTCATGACCTGTATTCTTGATGACCAATCGAATATTCCTTTGCTTGGCAAATTTGACCACTGCGCAGATCTCATCGACTGACTGGATCACTGCAGAGTATAACGGTATGCGACCTTGCCCGCACACCGAGCTTGGATTCGCCTCAATAGTACAATTCTCGTTTTCCCGGGGCCAGTTCTCCCAGTTGAAGCTCTGCAGAGCTCCTGTGGTGTTTGCATATTTGTCAGCGACAACGGACACATGTAGGCGTTGCTCATAAATGGCATCCTACCTGGTTGCTCTGCGCGCCAATTAGAGTCATACTGCAAGTGAACAAGCTGATTGCAGGAGGCTTGGTCGAAGAAGGGCTCATGGCATACATGGCCGATGGGGTAGACTCGAACTAAATGACCACTGATGGATTCATTCAAGTGTTTCCAACCATCCCTGGAAGGCCAGCATGCGTCACCAGGTTGACACCGACATTGCGAACTGGCTCTCACGACGGGCGATACTAGGAAAAGCAGCAATGCTAGAATTATCAGCATTATTGATCAGTACTGATTGATGCAACTAACTCGCTGACAGTGACAAGGGTGGGAGCTACCTCCAAAGCACTGAGCGTATCGGGGAACGGCCCTTCTGGGTCGGAAGGTCCTTCCTGTGTTGCTACTACTACTAGTAGTAGATTGCCATGGCAAGGCTCTCCTCATTTTGGCTCAACCATCATGGCCCCATTACTGAGACAGTCCTGACGCCCATAGGGATACCCCAGACACTTATTTGCGGAAATTTTTCTATGCTGTGATACCATGCTTTGCGCGGTGTATGCGTTGCTAACATCTACGACATGACTTGGGACAGGATGCACCCAAGGCGGGCCCCAAAGCGCCCTTATCAACACCCTTCTCTTAATAAGAAAATCGCCCACTAGTAACATTAGGAAGGGGAAGTAGTACAAATGTTCCATCAATCAGGTAAGCGGCAGTACGGCGGATAAGCTATAATTGACGCCTGATAGAAGGTGCCCCTTATGACGCTTGCCTTGCAGTTGCTGGTCTACATATAGATTTCAGGAGAAACTTATACACTATACACAAGCGCATAACGGGACTATTAACCTTACTTTCAAGAATACTAAACCTCAAGGTATTTGTAAATTATCATTGGCGAATATGAAGTAAAGCAGCATAGATTTAGATATCCAGCTCTGTTGACCGTAGTGTGGCCTCAGGCAAATTGGAGCCTGATCATGTTCATCTTCGCGACACTTCAATTCGCAACTCCACTCGTCCCCAGTCCAGTCCAGCTCTGCAACGACCCGCCATCACTGATTTTCTCCGGACTCCGAAGTACTACCGCTAGTGAGACTGTGCTTGAACTACTGTACGCCTGTTGTGATCACCGACAAATGCTCTCCACTTCGGTCGCGTCCCGATCGGCGCTGTCGCAAAACCTTCGGAGACTTGTGAAGTGGCCGCGCTAGTCTTGCTGGACGAGCTCTTCTCTGTCCTGTCTTCTCCACGTGAATAGCACTATTTCCGTCCCGAAAGGGAACTTATACCGGGATCTTGAGCTCTGAAACGGTCTTCCTTTTCGTCCGCATCGCCGTGCTCAAGGACATTGCTGCTCGGGCGCTAAGCTATCGGTTTTGGGATACCTGACAGTCGACGCTTGGCAATGACAGAACGCAGGAATACATTCATCTGTTTAATAGGGAAGAGGGTGAAGAAGAGAATGAAAAAGAAAATAAAAAGAAAAAGCAAGGCGAGACGGGAAATGGTAAGATTCTGCAGCAAACTGCAATGCATTATGCAAGATTTTCTCCACGTCACGTTTCTGCAGCTCTTCATGAGCTTTTCAGTCGAGGAGTATCTGATCACGTACCCCCGGTCGCATCAGCGACAATTCTGGTTTAGCCGGCTTACAGAGGTCTGCATACGAATGTTATCTCTTCACCCCTCTTCACTCGTGTTCACTTCCACCAATGGTAAAGAGCTGGACAACAAGTGGTGGGCGAAGGAGCATTCAGCAGGGTGGCTAGGGAGATGATCCCTGTCAAGCTTGTGCATGCTGCTAACTCCTTGGCTCACGAGACAATGCCACTCATATCTTCACCGCGAGAAGTGGTCTCGAGGGAAGGTCTCGGGGAAGAAGAGCCGTCGGTCTCGCACCGCGAAACTCAAAAGGATCATCACTGAGACAGCGTTGAGTGGACCTCAACTGTTTGCCTAGGAACTCCCAACTCACTTAGTCTCGACTTTGTGGGTCTGGAATAACCCATAATATGTCCGCACGGCTGACACGACACAAGACACGGCAGCCTACAACACTACAGTTTGAACCGTCTCTTTTTCCGTCTTTTAGGTTGGCCGGGAATGGTTATGGCGCAAACGTTGCGGGGTTGTCTTTCGTGTCTCACTGTCGATCTCAGGACTAGACTCAATGAGAGTCCCACTCGCCAAGCTTCTGTCATCTGCCTTTAATTGGGGCATCTGCTCTTCTGACTTGTGATCCTTTTGTCCTTGTGAGACACTGTTCTTATCGCTGTGTCACAGCTGCCGACAGGGTGGTAATCTTGAATATACAATGGCCTCGACTGATCAGACGTGGGAATTCGTCGTTGTGGGTGGTTAGTATGGAAGTCTCGTTCGTCGATCAGGACCTCACCTAACGATGCTATAGGTGGCCCGGCGGGCTGTGCCCTTGCTTCAAGGCTTGCTCGGTCAGCGCGACGGCCTCAGGTCCTCCTGCTTGAAGCCGGCCCTCGTAACGATGATCCATCACTGCGTGTGGACGGCCAACGATGGCAGACCTTTATGAATGGAAACCTGAACTGGGGGTACAAGACCACCCCACAAGAACACTGTAATGGCCGACAGATCGACTATTCTCGGGGCAAGGTCCTGGGCGGCAGCAGCGCCATCAACTTCGGTGTCTACACCGTGGGTGCGCGAGACGACTATAACCAATGGGCTGGGCTTGTTGGTGATGACCTGTTTCGCTGGGAGCGCATGCAGGCTCGATTCAGACAGCTGGAAACATTTAACGGTGCCATTGTGGACCCGAAGAATAGCAAATATGCAGCCCCGAGGACCTCAGACCATGGCTCCCAAGGGAGTCTGAAGGTCGGCTATGCTGCTGAATGGGAGCAGGATCTTCCCTTGATGATGGATGTCTTCGAGCAGGCTGGCCTGGCTCGGAACCCTGACCACAACTCGGGAGACCCGATTGGCATGGCGTTGGTCATTAATTCATCCCACCAGGGTCGAAGAGTGACAGCAACTGATCTTTTGGACGAAGCCCCGTCCAATTTGACTATCATAACGGAGACGCCAGCGCTCAGGCTCGTACTCCAAGGCACCAAGACTGTTGGTGTGGAAACCAAGGGGGCAAAATGTATGTAATCGAGCTATTTTTCGAGCTGAACCGTTCAACTAACCATGGCTTGTCGCTGCAGACTTCGCATCCAAAGAAGTGATTCTAACAACCGGATCACTGGACACGCCCAAGATTCTGATGCATTCGGGACTTGGACCAGCGGGACAACTACAACAATTCGGGATCCCCGTCGTCAAGGACATGCCTGCGGTAGGCCAGGGTCTTCGGGACCACTTTTTCGCACCGCTGTGCTTCCAACGAAACCCGACAACAAACGATCGCGATGCCTTCTTCGGTAACCCGGCTGCTATGGAGTCAGCTCTGGAACAATGGAGCAAAGATGGCACCGGGCCGTGGGCGCGGCACTCGTGCCAGATTGGCGCCGGCTGGCTCAAGTCCGACCGCTTGGTGGCATCTGAGGAATTCAAAGCACTGCCTCCGACAGTGCAGGAATTCCTACAACGCGACACGGTGCCACACTACGAGTTCATGACACACTTCCCGCTGCATCTCATCTCTCCCGAGCCTTTCAAAGATTACAGCTACGTTTGCATGCTCGTGTTTTTGATGAACGAGCAATCCAGCGGTGAAGTGCGTCTGCAGTCAGCCAACCCTGAAGACCCGCTGCTGTTTGATCCAAAGTTCTTGTCCCACCCGTTTGACAGGCGCGCATGTATTGAGATCTATCGGCACGCGCTGGAGGTGACGAAGCATGAATCTTTCCAAAAAGACACCGTGTCCGCATTGATTGCGCCCCCGTCCGAGTCGGATGAGGATATTCTTGAGTTCTGGAAGAACACCCTCGGATCCAGTTGGCACATGACTGGAACGACCAAGATGGGTAAGTCCGGGGATGCCGATGCTGTCGTGGACAGCCGGTTCCGGGTATTTGGTGTCGAGAATCTGCGGATCGCCGACATGGGTGTGGTGCCTGTTTTGACGAACAACCACACACAGGCAACTGCGTATGTCACCGGTTTGACATGTGGAGATGCGCTGGCAGAGGAATATGGGCTTGATACTTCGGAGGCTCGATTGTAGGTGGTATACAAGACACGAAACAAGCACTGTCAGGAATTGCGATTGCTGTGAATCACTAGCTCTCTAGATGGGTTTTCTCATCAGGATTTATGTCAACCATAACTTCCTGCTCATATCTTTGGAGCTGGGACTCGGTGTATATGAATGAGAGTATTTGAAGATGGCACCGGTAATTCTCTGCCTGAGTCTCATCATTCCATCGTCTTTCCGTCTTTATGAGGCCAGTCGTGTACCTCATCAACACGAAAGAGGCATTTTACCCCTACGTAATTAGGCACGTAAGTACTTTTTCGGAGTTTTGTAGAAGTCCATCCCACGCAATCTTCTACCTGTCCACCACATTTGAGCATAACAACCCAGACAACAAGAAAAGAAAGACTTCACTACTAGTTTCTCATCTTCCGCAACACTTACACTTGAATAAACATTTCTCTATTTGCAAGATATACAAACCCACTACAGTACTACACCACCAAGCCGAAACAATGGACTCACCACACCAAATATTCCTCATCCCCGAGGTACTGGAACCAGTCCTCCTAAACCTAGACACAACCACCCTCCTCTTCTCACAACGCGTCTGCCACGTCTGGAACTCACTCATCAAAACATCCCCATCCCTCCAAACGGCCTTATTCTTCCGCCCTCAAAAAGACTCATCGACATCGACACCGGCCCTGAAACCTAAGCGCACTGTAAACCCCCTCATGAACAAGCTCCTGAAACACTTTGTCAGCAACCATGGATCAAGTTTCCACAGAGATATTAGCTCTTATCTCTCCCGATTCGGACCACAAAAGAGCAGTGATCCCTCCACCACAGAGTTAGAACGTCAACACCCCTACCTCCGCCCTGAAGCCAGCTGGCGAGAAATGCTCCTCCACCAGCCTCCAGCCCCGACACTGGCGGTCAGTGACGATCTCATACCCCTGAGCATCGGCGGGGTACCATCTAACGAGTCAAACGCAGTCCTGAGACTGAAGCATCTAGAGAAGCTAGTCCAAGTGTGTTTCTCATTCCCAGTGGAAAAAGTTCTCATCTTCTATCCTATGCATAATCCACCTTGGGGTCGCGCGCCGGTGTCAATTCTACGGAGATTTCTGGATACTTGTGACACTTATATAGTTCCGAGGTATTTTGTGCTGACGGGATTGTCTACAGCAGTAGATGCCCCCGTGGAATGTGGCTGGCCTGCGGGTCTCCCCTGGCTGACTGAGGTTGGGAGGTGGCTTAAAGAGTGGGAGGCTATACGGGAGAGCTGGAGGTTGGAGTGCCTTACTCATTTTATGTACCTATATTTTTATGGAAGTTGAAGGGTTTATGGGAGGTTGAATGGTATGAAGTACTAGAATGGGTGGGGATAGGTGGTGAAGTGTGGATGTTTGCATCGGCGCTATATCATGGAAAGTGTGCGTAGAACAACACCTGTTGGTGATATGAAGAATTTTCATATGTCCAGTGTATTAGACTGATGGTCAGCAATGACTGGAACGGTAGTTAAGATTTTGCTTGTCGAATGACAACTTTGCTGATCTATGTGCTCTATTACTATGCAACATCATTTAAGGATACTCACATGGTAGAATATACAGATCATTGCATTCGTAAAGAAGACCACAAACCGGGGCACTGCACTATGCTGAAGGGTGTATGAGAGCTGGAAAGAAGTAGCTCCATTCTAGGATAGTATTAAACGAAGATGCAGCCAAGTACGTACATACGAATCAAACAAATAGGCGCACACTCTGCAGGCACACATCATTTCTGCCTGCACAGCATATAGATACTGTCCACCGTGACCGCTCCTGCGACCGCCCAATGCGGCAGAAACTAGTCGACCTCGACCAAAAAACCTCGGATTTAAGCGGATTTAAGAACATACAGTCCCCCAAAAGTCAACTGGGGATTCTGTGTGTTTTTTGACCGCCTTTTGAATTCTGCCGTCTGACATGCCAGCGCCTTGGGAAGTACATGTTCGACACGTATTGTGCAATGTTTTAGACACTCCCATGCTATCTGAAAGAGGCCTGCCATATGTCTGTATGCTAGATTCAAATTCGAGGCTCTTTGTCGCATTTCAAGCAACATTCGACAGGATATGCCATGTTTTTGCGACCTCGACCAACATCCCGCGAGCGGCAGCTTTAATAGGGCCGTTTTCCTTACATTTGATGATGGAGTCTAATAGCTCCTGCGGTCGCTACATACAAAGGGCACTGAGATATCGATGGGGCTTAGCTCAGAACTGCTCGAAAGTGAAGCCGCTACCTTGAAATATATGAAACTGAACAAGTGACATTCTAGTGCCAGCGGTTCACCTTTACAGACCAGTCGTATGCCCATCCTATTTACTCGACGCCGACTTGAACGCCCCACCACCGAACATGAGATTGGTATACCGCTTATCTTGATGAGCAAGACACCCAGCTGGCCTCTCGCAAAAGCTTGGAAAACAACAGGGTCTGGCGAACCAAAATTGGCTGTATCGCTGAAAGCTAAAGGGCTATATGAGCTAGAAACAATGACTTACAAGCTGTCTCAATTACGGTTTAATCAGATGGGCTCATTGTTTGGACGAGGCGGCATTTTCCTCAACTGTCCCAGCAGCCCTGATGATAGCTTCCCCAGGCTTGTCACAGTCGCGCTACGAGTTGGATGAGAACCTCGTTCAAGCCTTCCAAAATGGATTCGCAGCTGCCGCTGCCGAAGACACGCGTATGAACAGACAGTAACCAATAAAATTGCCCTTGAGATCCTACAACAGAGCAGATGCTCAAGGCTGTTGACACGGTTACTTAACTTTGACTCAACTGATGACTACAGTCTGTTATTTGCCGTTGTGGGAACATGTATACGGCCAAGGAAAGGATGCCAGGTCTTATTTCACCGAGAAGCGATCGTCGTCAAGCTTCATAGAGCTTTACAATGACATAAGATTAGAGGACCAGCCGATTCAGAAGATTGAAAAGGCAGAGCGGGACTACTTTCGGGTTAATACATTCCAGGAGGCTATTGCAAGAAGACTAACACTAGTCTCGCGGTGGGGTTGCCAATACACGCCACCCCATCAGCAGCATCTCCGAAAAGCGGGGAAAGTTTTTTTCACTGAATACAACCTGTGGAAGTGGATCATGCTTTTCTAAAGAAGAGTGAGATCGCATTTGCTGGCCCAAATGAGCTGAAGGTCTTCAGCTGGTACAGCATTTTCACGGCCCACAATTGGACCGATCAATGAGTACAAGGGATCGCACATGCATGATTATGTGCAAGGATAGAATGACAAGCATTCAATTTCTATGGGGTTACCACTTCAATCATGCCCTAATCAGAAAAGTGCTTCTGTTGCTCTATATGCTATCTAAAAAAGGATAAGTAAGTTCTATAGGTGTCCCCGGAGATACTCGCCCAGCGCCATGATGGCCATGGCCTGCCCATATGGCATGGCTGTCAAGGGAATCTTCTTATAGAAGTCCAGAGAATCCCCCATGCCGGTACCAAAGCTCGTCTGCTGCAGTTCTCCGGTCTCGTCAACGGCGCTCAACACTGCCTGAATGGCCTTCTCTGCGACTACCCGATACTTCTTTGGCAGATACCTCTTCCTAACAGCCTTAAGGATACCATATGCGAATCCTGCTGTGGCGGAGGCCTCGACGTATGAATCAGGATGGTCAAGAAGGGTGTGCCAAAAGCCCGATTCCTCCTGCAGGCCCATGAGAGCCTCGCATTGGGCCTCTAACGTATCCAACAAGAACAGGCGAATAGGATCCCCCTCCTTCAAATCCAATAACTCAATAAACTCTGGAATAACCATAGTCACCCAACTATTACCGCGCGCCCACCTCGCTCTAGCAAAGTTATGTCCACCATCCTCGAACGTCCAGCCATGAAACCACAGCCCGGTGCTCGTATCAACCAAGTACTTGACGTGCACCAACGTCTGACGCTTGGCCTCCTCCACATAATCCGGCCGATTCAGCAACTTTCCAATCTTTGCCAACGGCATCACGGTCATCATCAACGTATCATCCCACAACTGCTGGTAATTTTCCGTGAGGTATGTGGCGTGCTGCATCCCTCCCTGCTTGGTGCGTGGGAGTTCATGCATAGCCCATTCGGCCCATGCGTCCAGCCAGGGCAGGTAGACAGGGTTTTGCGTCTTCTCGTATACGTATGCCAGAGTAAGGAAGACGGCCATGGTGTTGATGTTCTTAGTGGTACCGCCTTCAGCGAAGCGGGCGGCGAACCAATCCTCAATAATCTGCAGGAGGTGGGGAGAGCCGGTCATTTCGTAGTACTTCCAGATGCCATAGAGGCCGATTCCATGCGTCCATTCCCAGCCATGCCAGGACTTGGTGTCGATGATGCGGCCATCGGCGAGGGGGAGGAGGAATTGACCGGTTTTGTCTTGGATGTTGACGAGGTTGGTGATGAGAAGGTCAATTTTGGATCGGACAGCGGGAGGAGATGTAGAAGCCATGATGAGAGATGAGGACTTGAGTGGTATTACTGATGGAGTTGTTGATTGTGCTACACTCTGGTGATGCTGGTGTCTATAAGGTGGGATGGATACCCCTCGTGTCGAGCTTCAGCAGCAATGCGGGGAATGCCCTCGGGCTAGCTTCAGCCGAGCAGCCACGTCTGAATCATGCCAAGCTCGCTCGGCAAACAGAGAAGATTGGTCGTGTAAGATGCTAAAGTGAGGATAGGCTGTGAAGCGCTTTTTAAGCGAAGGGCTCGGGCCAATTGTCCCCGCGCGGGGGCGGACCCTGCCGCCCCCGGATTGTACGCGTGGAGAATCCCAGCCAGCAGCCATCCCTGGCATCAGACTATCAGACTATCAGACCTGCTCATCCTTCCTCTCATTGGAGTGAAAATGCAGCCACGGAGCAGCCACTCGTGCCCTAGTCAGACTCTATCTCCCGCATGACCGATATAAGGGTGTCCGGGTCCCCCAGCCGGGGTTGACCCTCTCCAACCCTGGCAATTCTGGCAGGCAACATGTCCATGGAGAATATTAGCTCGACGCCCGCAGGCGGGCCTGACTCTAAGGGAGCTTCCACGGCTGTGGAGGACCACAAGCCGCCGCAGGATGTGTCCCATGTCGAGCGGGTGCTGTCACCCTCCGACAAACTGAAGGCCCCGATCGATGCGAACCGTGTCGACAATGAGGTGCTGGAGTATGCCGCGCGCGGCCAGATTGAGGTCGACGAAGCCGAAAGTCGGCGTCTTCGCCGCATGATTGATCGTCGTGTGTTGGTCATCATGATCGTGACATACTTTCTGCAGGCACTGGACAAGGGTACCATGTCGTTTGCTTCCATTATGGGTATTCGCGACGATGCTCATCTTGTGGGACAACAGGTGAGTCTGAACATATATCTGCTTATGGTCAAGCACTAACTAAATAGTACTCCTGGCTCACAACATGTATCTACATTGCCGTCCTCATTGTCGAATATCCCACCAACTGGATCATCCAACGCGTCCGCATCGCCAAATACCTCGGCTTCAACATCATCTGCTGGGGCACCATCCTAGCCCTGCACTCGGCATGCCACAACTTTGCCGGTCTAGTGACCGTGCGCACTCTGCTTGGTATCTTCGAAGCCGCATGCCAGCCCTCCTTCGTTGTCCTTTCCGGAATGTGGTATAAGCGTGAAGAACAAGCTGCTACCGTCACCTTCTGGTACAGTCCAGTCTCTACACCCTTGATCTACGTATACTAACAAGACATAGGTATATGATGAACGGCGGCCAACAAATTGTCGGCGGCCTCCTAGCCTACTGTTTCAGTCTAATTGGGTCTGATCGCGCGCTTAAATCCTGGCAAGCACTTTTCCTCACGTACGGCTGCATTTCCGTGCTCTGGGGGCTGTTTGTGGTCTGGTGGATGCCCGATTCCCCAATGCGTGCCAAATGCTTCACCGAAGAGGACAAGCACAAGATGGTTGAGCGTGTGCGTGCCAACCAGACTGGACTCCAGAATAAGAAGTTCCGCGCGTATCAGATGTGGGAAGCGTTCCGGGATCCGCAGATGTACTGCTACTGCGCGATTCAGATCTTTACCACGCTGCCCACGAGTGGTCTGGGGGCGTTTGCAAATATCATCATCAGTGGGTTCAACTTTACGGAGTTGCAGACGCAGTTGTTGGCGATGGTACTGGGCTTTTACATCATTATTGTGTTGTTGACGAGTGCGTGGTTGGTCAAGAAGTTTGAGCAGAACTTGCTGGTGATGTTGGGATTTATTATTCCGTGCGTCCCCCCTTCTTCTCGTATCTTATCCTGAATTGTGACACTAACAAGATGTAGG